CAGACAACCTGTCAATCGGCGCCCCGTTTCAACCACCTTGGCCAATGACAACTCTGTACACCGACGCATCCCTCCTTGGATGAGGTGCGGCATGTTCGGGACTTCGGGTCCAAGGTACTTGGAACTGACGAGAGGTGAGGAAACATCAACTTTCTGGAACTTCTGGCGATTTTCAACACCCTCAAGGCTTTCGAGACTGTGTTATGCTGTCAAGTTGTCCAAATTGCATCAGACAACATAGTGGCAGTTTTCTACATCAACAAGCAGGGGGCACAAAATCCCCAGCCTTAGCACGCCTATCGATGGACATTTGGGACTGCTGCATACCAAGGAACATCGTGCTTATGGCAGTTCATCTGGCTGGAACCGACAACATCGAAGCAGATACATTAAGCAGACAGATGTCAACAATCCACAATGAAATTTGCGAGAAACTCTTCCACTTGTGGGGTTATCTGGACGTGGACCTGTTCACCACTCGAGAGAACAGCTTGTGTACCCTATACTGTTCCAGAGCAGGCGTCGGGCCGGGATCGATGGGGGATGCTCTTATGTTCCCTTGGAGCAACATGACTTTTTATGCGTTTCCCCCGATCCCACTCCTGACAAGAGTGGTTGCAAAAATAGCCCAGGACAATGCCACGGGGATACTAGTGACTCCGTGGTGGCTGAGACAACCATGATTTGCCACTCTTTTGCTGCTGTCCAGAAGAACGTTTCTTCATCTACCAACTCTTCCGCATGTGTTAACACAACAAGGAGGAGCAATCCATCATCCGGATATACTCTCTCTGAAGCTGACGGCATGGCAGATCACCTGATTCACGCCACTGAGTCGGTACCGGGGACACCTCACCCTACGGGTGACCTTACTCAACAGACGGTATATGCGGCCCCGACTTCGGATTCGACAGCAACTGCCACGGTACCGATGCCTACAGACAGAGAAATTCAGGCGATTCTCAAATCTGCATTGAGACCGTCCTATACGGCTAAATGGAGAAGATTCTCCTCTTTTGCAGAGTGCCATTCCTTTTCCCCTGGAACGGCTTCAGTCACCAATATTTTACAATTTCTCTTGCATTTGCATCATGAGGGAGTTAAACCATCATCCATCAAAGTTTATGCAGCCGCTATATCCCATTATCATGGCACTATCCACGGATTATCAGTGTTCTCTCAACCGCTGGTTCGGCGTTTCATTAAGGGACTACAAAATTTACATCCGTCTATTCGCCCTGCCATGCCAAAGTGGAGTCTCTCCGCAGTGCTCCAAGCGCTTACCAAACCACCGTTCGAGCCTTTAGCAACTGTGGACTTACACCTGGTGTCATGGAAAACTGCTTTTCTTGTAGCAGTTACATCAGCACGGAGAGCTAGCGAAATTTGTGCTCTCCGCATAGACCCACCATTTCTGAACTTCCATAAGGAAAAAGTCGTCCTTCGGATGGATTTCTCCTTTTTACCCAAGGTGGCCACACCGTTCCACCTGAATCAGGACATCATTCTGCCGGCATTCTTTCCATCGCCGTCGACCCCGATAGAACATGCTCTGCACACGCTAGATGTTCGCCATTGCTTGGCCTTTTACAGATCCCGCACTGAATCTTTTCGTACTACTAATAGACTTTTTGTTAAATACTTCGAGCGTGAAAAGGGATCACCGATATCATCTCAGAGACTCTCTAATTGGATCCTCCAGACTATTGTCCTGGCTTATCAGCTATCGAAAATAGACTTACCTGTCTTTCCAAGTGGCCACTCTACACGAGCAGTAGCGACCTTGTCCGCTTTTGCCGCAGGGGTTTCGGTGCAAGACATCTGCAGAGCTGCGATCTGGGCTGGTCCATGTACTTTCGCCAAGCACTATCGGCTTGATGTACGTGCCAGACAAGACTGCTCTTTTGGTAGAGCTGTTCTCTCATCCGTTCTTCGCTGACGACACCTCCCTCCTCCAACTGTGGTAAGCTTGCGAATCACCCATATGTGTGATGCACAGAGGCCACGACGAAGAAAAGCAGGTTGCTTACCTGTAACTGATGTTCTTCGAGTGGCCATCTGTGCATTCACACAACCCACCTGCTGGCCCCACTCGGTGTCGGTGAGTGGATCTCGTTTTTCTCGGTACTGTACTATAAATTGCATCGGTACCGTTTGGGTTATGTCGCTGGGTGGTTATTGTTTCCAGTACCGAAATATAATTTGCATCGGTACCGTTGGGTTATATCGCTGACTAGATATAGTTCTCGGTACCGTACTATAATTCACATCGGTACCGTTCGGATATAATTGTGTTTTCTCATTACTTTTATTCTTAACCTCTAGAGGGCGAACGTGCGGGCTTCAAGACTGAGTAAAATGGTGGACACTCTGCTCTATTTATACCACGAAGGGGGAGGGGAACGGAGCGTTTTCCCGCCAAAAACCCTTAGCTTTCTAATCTTCCGGCCTAGGCACTGCGCAGGCGCAGCAACCCATATGTGTGAATGCACAGATGGCCACTCGAAGAACATCAGTTACAGGTAAGCAACCTGCTTTTATCTGACATTCCTCTCCTTTAGGCTAAAAACAACAATGCCCAGTTTTGAGTAGTCATTTTGACTTCATAAAAGTTCCATACACAGTCAACAGGCTTGTTGTTGTTTTTTTCCCTTCTGTCAAAACATTATTCATAGGCAAACCGTTTCAGTTTGCTATAGAATCATTCAGAATGTCAGACTTGAACGCCTGATAGCTCCACTTAGGCTGCAGTTCTTGGAGTGCTTGTTCCTGGGTAGCCCCATTTTTTATTCAGCAAGCTTTATCTGGAATTTGTGACTAGAGAATTGAATCCCCAATGCATGCAGTTTGTTGATTAAAATATTTTTAGATTGCTTAGAAACAATTTGACAATTTCCATGGGAGAAGGGAACTGCGTTCAGATAAAGTATACTCTTTGGTTTCCTCCCCCTCCCCCAGCCAACAGAATCCCCACATGCCCAAAATATAGATGCTAAATAAATGGGCGAGTGGTTCATTCACAAATAAAAATAATAGGCTTAATGGTGAAAGCCAGATGTCAATGGTTTACTGTAGACAGCTGAATAGAGCAAGATGGTAAACTAGCACTGGTGCAGAGATGCCCGAAGGTGCACTTTGCTGCAATGTCATCAATATACTTCACAGTGAGGAGTGGGAGGGGTATACTTCATGCCTGCATTAGGTGGAGTAATCTTACAAAATGACTTAAAGGGATCCTTTTGTTCTTGTTTTGATTAACTGAGTTGTTTTAGCTCAATGGCTGGCCAATTAATCAATTAGTTGGTGGAAAAGCAATACTGAGACATGGTATGATGTCCCTTTCTCTGAGGCTTACCTTGCTTGGTACTTTCTGTGCTAGAAATTCTCCTTAAACCCTGGCAGGTACAGCCAGCTACATAGTAACATCTCTTTTCACACCACCCTGGGGTTTTATATGTCTTCAGTCACTACAACCACAACAGACTAACAACTAACTCTACTTGCATTTCCTTCCTCTGTACCCATCTGCCTATATCCCTATCCTAAAGCAACTGCCTGTGTGGCTCATAAACTGAAACTCCCACTGACTTTTCTGGGCTCATGCTGCACATGCACAGCACGCACCCAAGCAGCAGAGAACAAAGGAAGAGGGGGAAACAGGCAGGAAGAAGCTGGTCCAAACCCTGAAGTTGCAGAATGAATTACTTTCAGAAAGCTTCCTCAGATTGTAAATAATCCCTGCTGTGTGCCGATTTAAATATTATGCCTCAAGTCCCACTCCTCCAGTATGAGGAAAGTGTTGGACCCACAGTTCACTCTTCCAGTGCCACCTTCTGCTGAAATTGAGTCCATCATTTATTTTGCCAGAAGCCAGTGCTTTGACTAAGTATGGATAACGTGGGAAGCATACACAATTTCTATGAACTATAAGAATATAAAAGCAAATGTATTCTGCTGAATCAATGACACATGGACCCTATGTCTGACAGTGCCTTGTATTAGGTACAGTGGAAGAAATTGGCAGAACCTCGGGAAAAGGACAGCATATACTGTTTCCTGTAATTTAAAGTTTGGTTGGTTGGTTATACTTAAAACATTTTTACCCCATCTTTATCTGAAATGGTTTTCAATCGGTATCAATTAGCCCCTGTCCTTTGAAAAACTTGACGTATATGAGAATGAACAGTCTAGCTGTTTTATTCAGTAACAGTTGAAATTGCAATGCCTCTGTCTCCCAGCTTTGTTTTGCTAAGTATATTATTGACAATCATCACAGCTCATCACTGTCAGATTTGATCTATGCAGACAGGAGGTGAGGTGGTAAAACTGTTCCCGCGTTATACATAATTTCAGAACATGAGAAAAGAATCACATAATTGAATACTCCCCGCAACCCCCATTAAACGAACAAATGCCCTACCTGTGAAAGATTAGACCTGGGGAGGAACTGTTTTAACTAGAATTATAACACAATTAAGCAAGTAATGAACAAATATGATCAAGTTTTTAAAATTATTTCATCTATTGATTATATTAGTGCATGAATAAAACAACATTTGTAAAGTAAGAACCATCCTTGTTTCATTTTTAGGTTATGCATGTATTGCATCATAGCAGGCATCATCTTAGAGGTGTTTCAAACATGCACCATTTCACACATGCATGCACATAACCGGATGACTCAACATGGTGATTTAAAACTGACTCCATTGAGAGTCAGCACTATGTTTAAAAGGCTGGTGAAGAGAGAAGGGGAAGTTTCGCCTGTGTTACTTTCATCTGTGTTGGCTTCAAATAAAGGAGCCATCCCTTGATGATGTAGCCCACTGATGATGAATGAGCTTGTAAGAACTAGCTGGTGGTGTGTTCTTGCTGCTTGGATGATGCGAAGGAGATGTGTTTTCCTTATTTCCCTTATGAACCTCTATTCCCACATCTTGCATAAATCCAAGTCTCTCTATGTAAATCTCACTGTGTTTTATTGCTTAATTTTTCTCCAGAGCCAAACTTCATCGCTGCGTATGACATCGGTTTGTTTACTTACTTCTTTTTCCGTGAGAATGCTGTAGAACATGACTGTGGAAAAACAGTCTATTCTCGTGTGGCAAGAGTTTGCAAAAATGACATTGGGGGGAGATTTTTGTTGGAGGACACATGGACAACATTCATGAAGGCTCGGCTGAACTGCTCCCGCTCTGGAGAAATCCCATTTTACTACAATGAACTACAAAGCACTTTTTATCTTCCCGAACAAGATTTGATCTATGGAGTTTTCACTACCAATGTGTGAGTTTGTTGTTTTTCTTGCTCTTTATTTATTTGCAGTACCTGCCTCCTTTGTCTTATAATAGGCCTAACTTTTTTCTTATGGGACTAGGGTGGATGAGGATGTGCTCTCAGAGGCAAACTCAGAAGCAAAAATCCATTTTAATCTTTAATTTAAAAAAGCATTAACTCTGGGCCAGAAAGCTAAAACGGTTTCTGGTTAGGGATGGGTAAACAAGCAGTGTTTGTGTTCACTGAGATTTTTTAAATTCTTCCTCAAAAGTTTATTTCACCTCGTTTGCATTCCCAAATATGAGTGTATTTTTTTCTTTTCTCTTTTTGAATAGGTAAAATATGTATTTCAAAAAATACATATTTTTCTCAATTCAAAAATGCACATTTACCAGGTTTGTTCCTTTGTTTGATCCAAGTCAGTGTTAAGATTCTGTCAATCATACGATATATCAAGTTCAGAAGAAACAGGAAGCTGCAGATAATCAATGTTGGAAGTTAGGGCTTCCAAGCTGCTTCCCAGTGCTGCACCAGAGGAGGGGTGGGGAGGAAGCACATGAGTCCAGTGTTCAGTGTGGCTAAACGTAGTCAAAATAAAACATGCTTGATTAAGATGTCTGAATCGGATGACTGAGAGAACAGGTTGCAACAGTTCAGTGTAACAGAACATAGTTGTAAAAGGAATATTTGCAATAAACAGAGTTTACTAGTGTCTTGTAAACCTAAAATTAGATTGGCAAACTCAAATACGTATAAAGGAAAAACGTGGTTCCTTATTTCATTTTATTCCTCCTGATTTTTTTTTAGTTACAAGATCTACCCATGTCATACTGTTTGTGATATTTCATATTTGTGGATTTCATATTTGTGGATTTGTGATATTTCATATTTGTGGATTTCATATTTAAGCAGTCTGGAAAAGGACATAATTCGATGTTCCTATGCACTTATTTCCAATGTTTGTTTCTAAAATAGGTGCAAGTCTTCCTTTGCTAACAAGAACTTATACATAACTGCAATACCAGGTACCTTTACCTGGGATTAACCTTCATAGAACACAGTGGAACTTAGTGCTTAGTAAATATGTGAAGAACGGTAGAAAAAAGGCAGCAAAAAAAGGACAGCTTGAATCTTACAGGAGACAAGCCTCAAAAGTTGCTTGATAATTGAATTATGGCCAATTGTTTGAGTATAACATATTCTTTGTCAGAGGCAGTAGTCACTTCTTGTCTTCTGCGGATGCTTTCCCCAAAGGTGAAGAGAGTACTACCTCTGCTTGTGTTATATTCAATATATGTTGAATGTAATAATGGATAGTTTTGCAAGCAATATAATTTTCTTGCACATCCTTTATGTTACATTCCAGTGCACAGCAAAGCTTCTTCATGGTCTCTGTGCAATCCTACATGTGAATTCTGTGTCTGTGTAGCACCTATTTTGGAAACTACTATAGTCAGATTAAAATTTTGCAGGGCAATCTCTCCTTATCCTTTACTCTTGAGCTGAAAGTGGTGCGGTTCCCACCTTCCCACTTGGTTCCATTCCAGTTGCTTAGACTTGCACAGAATTAAAACAACTTTCTTGGTGTGTGTAGTTATTCTCTCTGTCCTCAGTGTCCTGTTGTGCCCCAGCAGGATGGAGTGCTAGCATCACAGGGAGTGAGAGGTTCTAAGAGCAACCTGGAATGAGCAAAAACACTTGATTCTGGAATGATGCAGACTTACAGGGCTCCTCTGGCTGATTCTCATCTGGAAACAAGTGTTCCCATTTGGTTCCTGTGTTACGTTATGTTTTGTTTTGTTTATTAAAATCTTTTCTAACCCATCCACCACTAGCGTCTCAGGATGGCTTATTAAAAACAAATAGAATAAAACAAAACATCACAGCATCTGACAACTGAAATATTAAACCCCAGTTAAAATCAATTAAACATAATGACAGGAAAATAAAAAGAGTTTTGCCTGACACCAAACCTCTCTGGGGAACCACTTTTGGAACTACTGGCTTACTGTTGCTGAAGCTGTCCTCTCCACTGGCATAGCATACTCAGTTAGCACACTGTGGTTTCACTAGATACTGCCTGCAAACTGCAGAGAGAAGAGATCCTATGTCAGTGCCAGCGGTACTTACAGTAGCATTGCTGTAGCACTTGGCTCATTCCTTTCTTTGTTGGTGAATACTTTGGTAGCAAGTGTTACAGGTTCTGCTCTGGAAGTATTGAAGGCTATGCCATTTTTATTAGATCCTCTGCACTACCCATGTCTTTACATTCCTCACTGACCCAACAGCTGATTCAGTCACCTGACTCAATGACTGTTCTTACTTCCAGAGTCTTAGCACCACCTTCATGAGGAAAAGATTTGTCTGACTTCCTCCTCTGTGGCTTCTTATAATTTGTCACTTGATATGAATGTAGAGACCAAACTCTCATGTTACTGAAGGAAGTGGTTAGGTCATATAGGATAGGCTTGTAGTCTGCTGCACTCTTTGTTCAAGATTTGGCGTTTCAGATTGTTCCTACCAGCACTCAACATTTTTTATAGGCTGTTAAAAATTTTGCCCAACCTTGGGCAAAATCTTTCTCTCCACCTAAGAAGACTGTCATCCATTCTTTAATACAATTAAAAATAATTATGCTATGCCAAACTCTGTCATAGGAGAATTGATGTGATCATAGTCCAGGCAGCTTGCACCCATGGGCAAGGAGGAATGTATTCTCAGTGTCCTGTGTCAAAAGATTTACTTGGCAGCCATTTTATCTCTAGGTCTGCATGTATAGGTTATCAGCATTTTTTGTGAATAAAAGGCTGCTTCATTCTTTGACCACTTCGTAGATGACAAATGGGAACTCACTCAAGTATTTCAACACAAGGCCTCCTGTTTGGTCAACAGCAGATTAACATCTTCTGCCATGTGGACCATTGCAGTTCTCACTCTATGACAGCTGCTGTAAGTTTAAGGAAGTCTTCTTTGCTGAGGTTTACCTCACTTGCCAATCAGATTCAGAATCCCATTCAAATTTTTCCATTTGGTGCAAAGGGTCTTTTCAGTAAGTGCACTGATAAGGAGATTATTGTTCATTAACCAAATCAATCATCAACCAAATCAACTGCTTTGCATGGAGGCATCAACAGCCATTAAATAACTTCTGGTTGATCCCACCTGGTTTGCTTTATTTCAGGGATCTCATCAGACAACTTGCAGGCCTAGAGGGCAACCATTGTAATGATAGATTCAAGGTCCTTTAACCAACCTTAGTGTTTAGATATTGTTTTGACCTACTTTCAACTGTGTTCAGGGTTCACCAGAGGACCTTCACAGTCATGTGACAAAAGGTCATAATGGACTGTTGGATGGTTATCATCCTCCAGGTTAGGTACATGCTAGCTTTTGCCTATTTTCTTCCAGATGGACAATACCCAATGGTTGGCTGGTTAGGAGGAGAGGACATCCAGATTTCCACAAAAGAAGGTAATGCAGGTAGTGCCCATCAGATATGAACTGAGAGGATTCTGCTTAAGATTTTTCACAATACCCAGGAAAAATGGGAGTCTGTGGTCTATTCTGGACCTTCAGGACCTAAGCAACTTTACTGGGCTCAAGAGTCTGCAATTGTCACTTCCATGAATATGCTCCCCTAGTGCCACTGAGGAGACCATTCATAGAACTAAAGGATGCCAGTTTTCACATTATCTGGCCAAGAAAACTTCCATTTTCTTCATTTTACTCTTGTAAATTGTGGTTTCTACTTCAGGGTTCTGCCATTTATCCTTGCCATGGCACCAAGCATCTTCACAAAGTGTACGGCTGTCAAAACTTATTTTTGGGGCAAAATTTTTCCCATCCGTTGGTACTTGTTTAATGATGACATCCTTTCACCAGTTCTTCCTGATCAGTTCAACACAGCCCTGCATTTCCCTGCGAGAATTCTTTCTCCATATACATACAGGAAAATCATGCCTGATTCCTAAGCGTTTATTGGAGTGTTTCTGGACTCCATTACTGGCTGGGCTTTTTTACCAATGGCAAGAGCTCCAGTACCTGTCGCTAGGCTACATAGGTCTCTTTTGAACAAATAATTATGGTGAACACCATTCAGTGATCCGTGGGTCTTATGGGAGCCACCACAGCAGTTATCTCACTTATACAACTCTACAGGAGAGTGCTGGAAGACCCATTTATCCACAATTTCTTCATGCTGATTCTCAGAACTCATGCTGAAGGATCCATTTCTTTTGATCTGTTCCATTTGTGATGAAAGCATCACAGTTGGGAAGCAAGTTGTGAGGGCTTTCAAAATGCCCCCAGTCTCCTGTGGTAATTGATGAAAGTGAACTAGAAATGTTAATCCTGGCCAAGATTTTTATGCTTTCTGTACTTGACAGAATAATCAGAAGTTGAGATGGACAACATGGGCAGTGAATATATACTATGTGAATAATCAGAGGATAATAATATTCATGCCTTGGTTGCCCCAGCAGCTTTAGTTTGCAGTGCTGATGAACCTGTCAGAACAAACTTTCTAGCAGCTGTATCACCAAAAATGAGCCAGTAGTCTCAGGACTGGGACACGATCCTGCACCCTTCACAACATTGACTTTATGACATGGCTCATTCAGCATCATAAGCTTCCTCGGAGAAAGTTCTAGTGGCCTGAAAACATCCACTGCATCAAGGCATCCTATGTAGCCAAATTGAAGACTTTGATAAATCTTGCAGGGTGGAAGACTGTTGCACACACGTGTCCTGTAGATGCAGTGTTGGATTTCATGTTATCCCTATGAACACGTTTTGTTTATCTCTTCAGTTAAAGTCTACTTAATGTTGGTTTCTGCCAATCATTCCTAGTTGAAGATTGTTTTCTGTTATTCTGTGATTCACTGTTTTATGAAAAAATTGTCATCTGCCCCATCTTCCACCTACAACTTCCTGAAGTCTCCCTGATTTTATCACAGTTAATGAAGCCAACATCTATGCATTCCTTTTCTTGATGGGTTTGTCCATTATAA